AGTCATCAGGGAAATGCAAATTAAAATCACAGTCTGATAACACCACCACCCACCAGAATGGTTAAAATGACAAAGCCAGATAGTAATATTAGCAAGGAAATGGAGCAAATGGAACTCTCACATATTGCTAGTGGGAGTTTAAATTGGTAGATCACTGCAAAACTATATGGCAGTACTCACTAAAGGTGAACATATGTATAACTTATGGCCCAGCAATTTCACTCCTAGATACATACCCAACTGAAATGTATACATATGTTCACTAAAAAACACATTCAGGAAAGTTCACAGGAGCACAATTAATAATAGACAAAAGTTGGAAATGACCCAAATGTTCATCAGTAAGAGAATGTATAAATTATCCATATTCATATAATGGAATATTACACAGCAGTGAGAAACACTGAACAACTGCTACACACGATAACAGATGATCATCATAAATATAATGTTGTCTAAGGAGCCATAAACAAGACAGGACATAGGACTTACATAAAGTTTAAAAACAGGTAAAATAATCCATGGTGTTAGAAGTTAGGACAGTGGTTATCTTTGTAGCTGCTTGGGTAGTTATTGAAAAGGGATGCAAGGGGCCCCCTGGGTTGCTGGTAATGTTCTGTTTCTTGATCCGGGTTCTAGTTACACAGTGTGTTAACTTTGTAAAAATTCTTGAGATACGTATTTGGGATTTCTGTACTTTTCCATATGTATATTATACCTATATATATAATGATATATATTATCAAAAAGGAAAAGAGATAGAACTCCACAAATTCCATCACCACATCTGCCTATGAGCCCCTGCACCCTACCTTCACTCCTGTTACTGTGGGTGAACTATACATGCTTCCATTAAAGACAAGCCTTTCTTCTTGTGCACTAAATAATTGTCCCTCTCTTCTTTACAAGGATGTTACTCTGGCAAGCCTCCCATCTCATTCCTACATCTTTTCCTCTCGAGCAGATCTTTCCCATCAACATACAAACATGATAGCATTTTTATAATTTTTAAGACAACCTTCTTTTAATCATCAGTTACTATACTATTTTTTATCCTCTCTTAGCTTAAAGTAAAACTCCTGAAAAGATGTATCTATACTCACTGAATTCAGTTTTATTCTAACATTCTCTTTGAACCACCTCCAGTCAGAATCTCACCTCCACATTCCACAAGAACTGATCTTGTCAAGGTCACATTGTCCATGTTACTAAATCCAATAGTCACTTCATCCTCATCTTAACTCTCTTTCCTGAAACACTTTCTCTTCCTGGCTTCCAGAACACCATATTCACCCAGTTGTCCTTCTACCTACCACACTAGCTGCTCCTTTCCAACTTTCTTTTGTTGGTTCCTCATTATCTCCCTGAACTTTTCATTTTGGAGAAGCCCCCTGAACTCATTTAGGGACTTCTTTTCTAGCTTCACTCCTATAAGGCTGTCATCAGTTCTATAACTTTGTACAATCTATAAGCTGATTTTTGAATTTTTGTACTCAAGAGAGAGTCCAGACCTCTCTTCTGAATTCAGACTTCTGTACACATCTATCTTCAACGTCTCTACTCAGATGTCTAATAGGCATCTCCAATTGAACATGTTCAAAATCAAACTCCTGATCTTCCCGTAAAAAACCCACTCTTTCACAGGTTTCCCATCTTGGTTAATGGCAACTCTGTTCTACTAATAAGACAAAACCCCTGGAGTCTTCTTGACTCTTCCATTTCTCTCATAAACAAACTTAACCTGTCAACAGATTCTCAAACTAAGCCTTCAAAAATATTTCTAAAATGTGACCACTTTCACCACTTCTATTGCTACTACCCTGGTCCAAGCCATGGTTGCTCGTTGCCTGGATTGTTGCCATAGCCTCCTAACTGGCCTCCCTGCTTCCACCCTGCTATGGTCTCAATGTTCGTTCCCTCCAAAGCTCATGTGGAAGCTTGATACCCAGTGTGGCAGTGTTGAGAAGTGGGGCCTTTGAGAGGTGATTGGATCACGAGGGCTATGTTGTCATGGATGGGTTAATCTATTCATGGATTAATGGATTAATTGGTTAATGAACAAATGTGTTATCACGGCAGGAGCATTGGTGGCTTTATAAGGAAAGTAAGTGAGCACACTAACATGCACTCTTGCCCTGTTGCCATGTGACACCCTGCACCACCTTGGGACTCTGCACAGAGTTCCCACCAAAAAGAAGACCCTCGCCAGGTGTGCTTCCTGGATCTTGGACTTCCCAGCCTCCAAAACTGTAAGAAATAAACTTCATTTATTTATAAATCACCCAGTTTCAGGTATTCTGTTATAAGTGACAGAAAAAGGACGAATACACACCCTCACCTCCCAACCAGTCTGTTCTCAATGCAGCAGCTAGAGTCATCCTATTAAAATGTTAATCAGATCATGTCAGTCCTCTGCTCAAAACCCTCCATTGGCTTCCTGTTTCACTCAGGAGAAGATAAAGTGCATATAATGGCTTGCAGAAGCCTTCACAATATACCCTCCTCCTCTTATGCCCCTCTTAACTTTTCTTCTGCTCCCTTACTCTGTTCCATTTATACAAGCTTCCTTGCTGTTCCTGAAACATGGCAGGTGTGTTCCTCCTTTAGGACCTTGCAAGTTTTTCCTCTTTCCTCATTTATGTTCAGGAATAATTCCCTCATCTCCTTCAGATTTTTATTCAAATATCACTTTTTCATTGAGGGATTCCCTGACCACCCTATTTAAAATTTTAAGCATCCTCTCTCCCCACCCTGTCCTCCCAAGGTCTCTATTACTTTCTTAGATTTCTCTCTAGCAGTTGTCTCCTAATAATAGTTAAAGTCTGTTTCCCACTAGTGTGTGAACAACATGAGTGTGAGAATTTTTGCCAGTTTCATTGACTGCTGTATCCCAGTGTCAAGAACAATGCCTGGTAAATAGTAAGAGCTCAATTAATATTTGTGGAATGAAGAAGTTATTTCATTACCTGTCAGTACGCTCAAGCTTCAAAAAGGTGGGAATACTTATTTATCTTTTTAATAAATGACTGACTAAATAGAAGAAATAAGAACAGATCTTTGAGCCAATTAAAAGTATTTAAGGCAGGCAGACAAGGTATTTAAATAGTCTCTCCATTTTTAATCAAAATACTTGATTGACCTCCCCAACTAAATTATGTCATATGGGAAAACAAGGTTACCAACTGCTTTTTCTTCCTTTCTCAAAAAATTTTCACTCAAGCAAGAAAATAACAAAGATTACAATGAAAAGAGTGTGCAACAAAAAAATATAGTTATTAAAACAGTGTTCACCAATAGTTCACCAATCAAAAATGAGGAATTCAAAACTTGAGAAGTAACACAAACATGGTTGCTCAATTCATTGGTAAGATTTTTCCTGTCCAGAGAAAGGTTAAAGAAACATATCTGACTCTGAGGGAAGGAAAAATCTATAGTTGTATTGGTTTAATTGTATGATTTCTAAAATACACTAGACAAATGATGGACAAATTTGACCCTTCTGATATGAAAACCTTATGTAATTAAATAAAGACCACTTCCTAGTCACCTGAATATATTTCTAGAGAAAATGTCAACACTTAGAAAATTCTGGCAACTGTTCCCCCCAAAATGACAAGTCACATTTTAATCTTTTTAATTTATATATCAAAAATTATAACTTATTTCACATGAAAGCTATTAGAGTAAATGAATTATGAGGCCAAAGACCCGGGGTTTTTTTCTCAGAACATGCACCTTCTTCCATCCCCCTTAAAGGAGGACAGTGACACGGGCCAGTGGGAGAAAGGCTCATGTGCACCACTGCTGGCAACAGAGCTTGCAGGGCACATCCACTGAGTGTACGACTTTCCATCAGTTGTCTCTGTGGTGAGGCTGGGAGTGAGGTATAGAGGGAATAAATACTACAATGCAGGTAAGCCGGTGGTGGCAATGTCCATTACCAAAAGTGTGCAACCTTACAAAAAGGAATCACGAACTTATAAATAGAAAAGACACTGTGTTAGGGTTACACAAGTTGCAGAGAGAAAGTTGATTATGAGAGAAAACTTGATTAATTGAATCACAATCAGAAATGAAGACATTAATGACATCCTGACATATTAATGGCAACCTCATTCAAATTACACAAATTATCTTGTACACAAGTCACTTTTCCAGAGCACATTGTATGTAGAAGGCAAGCTGTACTATATTCAAAGGGCACTGTCTTCATTTTTATAGTATCCCTCGCCCATAAGAATATGACTGATAGCCAACAATTATCTTCGGAGCTTCAGAAAGGAAATTATTTCACAGGCTAACATTTGGGAGGAGGGAATGTGTGTGTGTGTGTGTGTGTGTGTGTGTGTGTGTATTTTATGTATGTATACAGATGTATACACACATTAATGTCTCCCTACAAGGAAATGTGTAATCTGCAGAACCACAGATAGTGACCCTTCCATTCACATACTGAAATAAGGGAGTTTTCACGCATGAGACCTAAACATGAAAATAACTAGACATCCTGGTTTAGCTAGACTGTCCTAGTTTATTTGTTTCCCAATATAATTATTAATAGTACAGTCCCTCCCCCTACTAATGTGCTCCAGTTTGGACAATAAATTATATGTGATCTTACCTCAGTGGCTATTATCTCTCTTATGGAACATTAAGCTTTGGCTGTGAAGCTGGCAAAATTAGGGCTGTAATTTTCCCATAAGTATATGAGGGTTCAAACTGGGTTAAGTCACCCTGCCTTTTCTCCTACAGAAAAGTCGGGAACCTAGAGATGTAAATAAAATGAGGAAGGCTTTCAATAACAAAAGAATCAGCTCTGTTCCTTTACATTCTTCTGAATGTGCTATTCATCCTGCTTGCCAAGTTCATTCCAGAATAATGGGGACTCTCTTGCCAGACACTAGAGATTTTAAACGTCACCGATAGTCATGAGAAAAAGTCTCACATATTTTACCTGTTTATATTTATATTATTTCTGATTTATTAGACAGAAGTAGAGGTAGGACTTTGAATCAGGAGCTATTTATTTTTAAGTTAACAGTTCAAAAGGGAAGGCTCTCTTTCTATCAAACTCCCCTCCCCACTACCAAGCCTAGAATCATTAGGAACAGCACCTCCATCCAGTGGAAAACTGACACCAGGCATTCAACTGAAATCCAAGGTCCCCTGCCCCATGTCTCTCCCTTACTCTCCCAAATAAGTGGTTCTCACTCTCACTCTGTGGCAGTCAGTGGAGGAACTGTTGAGGATAAGGGTGAGAGAACAGTCAGCATTCACACGGGGCAGTGGATGTAGTTACCCACACTCCAATAGCAGCCCCCTTATCCTAGGGGATGCCACAGATTCCAAAGCCCTAGTCTCGCACCCCACATAGTCCCAGCAAGTTCTGGGCATGTCTGCACATGCTCCTGTCCACAGGTAGCAATTCTCTCACGGTGTGTCTCAGAGTTCAGTCCCATAGATGGCCTTATAACGCAAGTACTCTTCTAAGCACTGAAGAACATTATCATCCACCTTTGGGTCAAACTTGTTGGCCAGCAGGTGATGGTTTTGAAGTATCCAGTGCAGGTCCCCAGCTCCATAAATACAGACAGACCGCTGGTGGGTTCCAGAGCAAGGTGCATAAGGTGCCCCCTCACTGACATCTCCCTCATGTCCCTCCCACTTGACCAGCCTGGCAATGGCAGTCATGTCTGAGATGTCATACTTGCGGTGGTAGGGAAGAGAGCCAGGCATCCATGGTGCACGCTGAAGGGTGGCCCAGAGGTGTTCATCAGGGCTGTAGGTGTCTTTTACCCATTCAATCAGTTGTTGGGATTTGGGGTGCTTTAAGACATGTTGAATGAAGTCTCGAGAAGCCACAATATAGGCATTCCCTATAAACATAGTTAAATTATTAGGGGGAGGATCCTTCTTCTTGCTGGTTATGTGTAATTGGTCTGTCATCTCATAGTGATATTTCCAGCGGACTTTTTTGTACTCAGTGGGTATCTCTGACTCCATACTGTTCTTCCCATTCAACATCTTGAGGGCCTGGACCATCTCAGCATTGGTCTTTATAGGAAAGTCTGTCCCACATGTATTCAGGAAGTATTTCCATGGCACTGAGCTCTGGAGCAAGTCTTCCATGCAGTTCAGGTCAGCCTGCACCCTGGACCAGGAAGCATAAAACACCCGAACCAGCTTACTGGCTATGAAGACATTTGGAAAGCAAGATGTAATCGCCCTGACTGCCTCTTTGAAAGTTTCTGGGGACTTCTCATCCATGTGGATGCAGTATATGTTCTGAGGAGTATACACAGCTCGCAGCAGCCTTTCAAAGTTTTCAATTTTCTCATGAACCACCATAGAGTATGCAATAGGGAAGTCTAGCTCCTCTTTGCTCAGTGGAAACTGTATGTACTTCCTCTTGGCCTTAAAGTCCTCACAGTTTCTAGTCATATAGAGGTAGTCAGCATCTGTGAAAAGTGCCCGCTTCTTTTTGACCTCCAGTTTATTCAGCAGAGCCTGGCTCACTGCTTCCTGGTACCCCCGCGTGATCCCTGGACAGTCGATGGACCTCTCTGCTGGCAGCTTCAGGGACTTGTACAAGATACCCCTACAGCGCAGGCTTTGAAATTCCCTGGACTCCAGATCCAGATGATCAGAGTCACATTTCAATCTGAGAGAAAGTCGCAGAGCAACAATGGCCAGCAGAATATAGCAGCCTAGAGCCCACAGGTAATGCTTCTGGCAGAGTCTCTTCCACTTAATCATCTTCACAGAATGGGAGACCAGTACAGACTGGGCACTGGGAAGCAGGAGGAGGACAGAATCCTTGGACAGAACAAAATGCCTCCAGTTACAAACTAACACTGAACACATTTCCAGGAACATCAAGTTCAACTCCAAACTAGTTGCAAAAATATATTTATTCTCCAGACAAATATTGTAGTGGGTTGAATTATGTCCCCCCAAAACTCACTGGAACTTGAATTGTGTCCCCCAAGTTTTATGTATTAGAAACTTAGACCCCACTGTGACTGTTAAGAGGGTGGAAAATCCTATTTTGGTAATTGAAAGGTGGAGCCTTGAAGAAGGGATTAAATTGTAGGACCGTGCAGTAGTGAACGGATTAATAGTAGTGGTCAGGGGCATGGTTCTGAGGGATTTAAAAGAGGAGAGTCTCTCTCTTGCTTTCTCTGCTCCCACCATCTTGCAGTGTGAGACCCCTGGGTCACTGTCGCCACCACCAGATGGACTTTGGACTTTTCAGCCTCAGAAACTGTAAGCAATAAATTTCATTTTTCTTTATAAATTACCCAGTTCCATGTATTTTGTTACAAGCAATAAAAACGGACTAATACAAATACCCTCAGTAACAACCTGCTGAGAAGCCTTTTATATTACACCTGGCTTGCTGATGGAAATGTATAACCTGACCATACAAACCAGCTGACCACACTGGGATCAGGATCTGGCTCCACCTCCAGCCCAGGAGAGAGAAGGGAAACTGAACTGAGCACCTGCTGACTAAAGGTGTAATGAGTATGAGGAAGTCCCTACCCTTCATTCCTCATTTTTCCTCCCACCCTTTACCACCCTAGAATGTAGCTTTTACCTGGCGTCTACAATTTCTTGTACATCTAGAGAAAAAATTCGTGAAATTCAGACTTTCAGCATCAGTTCTAAAAATCTAAAGGCAAAACTACATTTCTTGTTCCTATTTGGCAATTTATGTATGAGGATGTTTTTCACTGCACATAATTTATTGGTCATATTTGGTATCTAGCTATCCTTTTTAAAATATTTTCCTAAAGAAGGATAAACAATTAGATATTCTCAAAAAAAGACATTATAATCATTCATATAGTCCATCCAAATTTAAAATATATCTACACACAGGGACACACACAGCCATGTGTGTATAATATTTTGTGAGTACCTTCTATGGACCACAAATATTTCTTTACATTGTCCCATTTAATCTTCACAGTGAACCTGAAATGTACCATTATTAGGTCTTTTATAGACAGGAATACAGAAGCTAACTAACTTGCCAGTATCACACGTCATAAGCAGCAAATCGGGGACTCCTCCACTTCCCCTTCCCCCACGTTTTTCTGTCTGTCTGTAAGCCTAATGCTTGTTCCACCAAATCACACCTACTTTTTAAATACAATACAGGAAACTGAGTACCACCAAAGAAAACTAGATATTATAGGGGAAAGAAAAAATCCCTGAAAGGAGAGAAACAATATGACACATCCTTCCAGTAATGATTTTTCCCTTGTTATATCTCTTCCCAAGCATAAAATTGTATCCTCTTTAGTAATAACTTTTATGGGCATCTAAGAGGGGGAATAAAAGAAAAATTAAGAAACTTCTCACCTTTAATAGCGTCTTTCCTGCTTAAGGGAAGATTTCATGCCACAGTGTGATTCTGTATCTAAGTGAAGACTGGTTAGTATCCATGGAAGTAAATGTGAACACCATATCTTCTGGTCTTCTAAACCTCCAAGTATTTTTACTGATGTATTCACAAGATGTCCAAGAAACTGGCTCAGGGTCCTCCTTACTTTCTGCAAAGTACAGAGCAGCAAGAGGCTCTATCACTCACCTTTTGGCTTCTTGCTCTTAGATAAGAGAGCAAGCTCAGATGAATCAGGAACATATTCTCAAGCACAAGTCACTCAGGAAAGTAAGAGAGGCAGGAAAAAATGCTGACAATATCTGAGAAGACAAGCAAGTATTTCAACAGTAACCCAGTTTGTATCCGTGTTCTCCTGCCACGAAATCATTCATAAAAGCCTGTCAGTGCTCATACAAGAACTTAAAAGCCATTTTTTCCTCTCCACAAGGAACAATAGAAACACACATATGTCACTGCCTTGTTTTGTTTGGGAGTCCAAGTGTCACTCCCCATGTTCCCTGAACATTATAGGAGCAAGGCAGTAAAAATGCCTTTCAAAGATTTTTTTTCTTTTGCTATTTTACTTTTTTCCAAAAAGCAAATGAAAGAAAACCAGAGTTCATTTTTCACAGGTAACTGCTCAAAAAATAAATAAATAAATAAATTCTTCTGTCTATCTTTACGTGACTATTAACAATGTGTAGGTTGGAGAGGTATCCACAGGGTCCCAGATTGTAGATCTCCCTCAGTACTGTCTGCTAGCCTAGGGTTGGTGGCAGTCTGAAGAATGTATTACACTGTTGGACTTCAGTGAGAGCCCCATGGGGTGGTTTTGGCAACAGAGTGAGAAATGCTGTTCTCAATGCTGCTGACATTGTTTGCCTTTCCCCACCCCACCCCCAACCAACCCTCCAAAAAAGCAGCATCCCAGCCACATATCTGAACAGAGCAAATTTAAAGAATTAGGTATAAATTTGAGTAGATAACTGAAAAGGTGGGGGGAGGGGGCAGAAGAAAATGACACTAAATTATTAGGACAGTAGCAATTGTTGGAAGTAGCTACCACCCGTAGGCTGGAGAAATAAAGGAAGGAACTGAAAATTACTAAATTTAGAATTTGGGTTGAGAAGCCCCAAGAAGGTGAAACTCAGACCTCTGAGGAGAGGGCACGGCTCAACTAGTGCTAGGGTGTCTCCTGAGGCTGAGATCCAGACCTCTCGGGAGGCAGCTGGTATCTCAGTCCATCCTTACTGCAAACTGGAGTTAGTGCAACTAACAAAGAAAGGGCCACAGCGAGGGAAACATGCGTTGTCACGGTAACGGTCACAGAAGCAGGAAGGAGACAGGAAGTAAACCGGAAGTCCCGCCTCCTACCTGGCGCTCTTCCTCCAGCGCCCCCTATTGGCAAAGCCCAAGAGGGAGCTGCTGGCGAAGAACAGTGATTCCCGGAGACCCCCGTCCAGCATCACAGAGCGCGGAACGGTGGGTTTCATCTAAAGACTGGACTGTAGTGATGGACCAGCGCCCCCTATTGGCAAAGCCCAAGAGGGAGCTGCTGGCGAAGAACAGTGATTCCCGGAGTCCCCCGTCCAGCATCACAGAGAGCGCGGAACGGTGGGTTTCATCTAAAGACTGGACTGTAGTGATGGAGACCGGTCAGAGCTGCCTCCTTCGTACGTGAACTGTTTACACCCCAACCCCCAAGACCCTCAGTATAGGGAGTTTAGGTCTTTGGGGGGTTCTCCCTGCCTGCTTCTGACTGTAGATGAGTACTCTGCAAAGGCAAGGGAGCCATGTAGGGACATCTGCACCCCTGCTTCTATTGGCCCCACTCGACCGCTTTGTCTTCTGTCAGCTTCCAGTACTCAGATTCTCAGAGACTCCACTGCTGAGCTGTAAAATCCCTGGGGCGAGAATGGTTAAAGGATAAGCACTTGCTCCTGTATCCAATCTAGAAAAATCCCTTCAATTACTTTAAATCGGACTTGTCATCCAGGGCACCCTCAAGTCCCACTTTCCTGGCCATAAAAACTGCATCGCGGAGTCTCTTTTTCAAAAAAAAGATAACATTGGGCCGGCCCGTGGCTCACTCGGGAGAGTGCGGTGCTGATAACACCAAGGCCCCGGGTTCGGATCCCATATAGGGATGGCCGGTTCGCTCACTGGCTGAGCGTGGTGCTGACAACACCAAGTCAAGGGTTAAGATCCCCTTATCGGTCATCTTTTAAAAAAAAAAAAAAAAAAAGATAACATTTTGTATATTTTATTTTTAAGACAACCGTAACAGGTATTCTCTTTTATGCTAATATAACATTAAAAAATTGTGGATCTATTTTGTTGAGATAACGTACAGGTTAGTAACATGAAGTGCGTGGTAGTGAAAGGCAAGTGTGGGCTTTGGCAGGATAAAGCTAGGTCTGAATCCTGGCTCTGCACTTTCTAGCTGTATAACCTTGAGCAAATCCTTTAATCAGTCTATGTTTCAGTGATTTCCTTTGCATAATAGGGGCTAATGCTAATACCTATTTTATAGTATAGTTGTGAAGATTAAAGAGAATGGCACATAAGAAAGACTTGGTATATGCAGCCCGGCATTTGCAGCCACTCAATGAAGGTTATCGTTAAATAGGCTCTAGTGCCAGCCCACGAAGACCTGTTTTACTCACAGAATAACTCAAGGAGGGTTACAAATAGCATTCTTGAGCTCTGGGCCAAGCAGAAGTGTTGATGCTTGTGATATGGTGAGGGAAAGGACCCAGAATTGCCCTCCTTCTCTGTGGTCTGGAAAGAGACCCAGTTGTAAGTTGTCACCCTCAGCACCCCAGGGAGAATGAGACCAGGGATGACCTGCAGCTAACCCCAGACAGGTACAGGAGAGAGAATAGAATGTCTGGAGAGGGGCACGGGAAGATGAGGGGCCAGACAGTCTGCAGAGATCAGGCAGGCATTTGGAAAGATGGCCAGGAGATTCCACATCTTAATTCCATGCTCTCCTGAATAGGAGATGGAACATTGGCAAGAGGGAGGATGGACCCAGTCCCAGAGTGCCTGGGATCTCAGGCACATTTCAAGGCAGAAACCCAGACCTAGAGTATGAGGTCCTTCATTAGGCTTCCTTTTATCACTGCTGAAAACGAAAGGCAGAGGAAGATGATCATGGAGGTAAATTTATCAAAGAGTCCAGGACTACATGAAGATATTTAGATGTCCCAAGCACTGAAAAGATGGTGGCATTCACCTCCCTCAAGTATCCAAAACAAAAGCAACATTGAACCACATCGTTAAGTATAAGAAAGTTCAACGCAGTCCTGCGTTTTCCCACAATGACTACTACTGTGATGCTGTTTTTGAAATGGCAAATTTTTCCCACCCAGACTTGTAAATCCTTTTCTCCTAATCATGAGTTTAACTAGCCTGTTGGACAAATAGCTTTACCTTCATCCCCTGATCTGTGAATTATAAATCCTTGTATGTGTGTGGGAAGGTCTAGGAGTTCCAGTCATGGGGAACAGATAAACTAGGTCAAGGTCATCAGGGTGGACCTCGGAGAAGCCAGTGGGATTTGGTGTTAACCTCGATGGAGGTTTGGGGGACCCTACAGTCCCACACCAAGGTCAGAGAAGGGCCTAGGCAGCAGGGATCTAGCCATCATAAGCTGAATTTACAAATTAGCTAATGCTCCCTTTACTTATTTGTTATGGTGGCATTTACCTCTGCTAGGTGTCAACTTTGTCCTTTCATTGACAGGAAACTCCTCGAAGTCATGTTCTCTATCTCCATTTCCTCTCAGCACCTACAGCAGCAGGTATTAGCAGAATTCCAAGACTTCCCAGAACAAAAGAGATTGCTTGTAGGGAGCATCATGGGTAGCAAGGGTGGTAGGTACAAGGACAGTCCCAGGTCCGATAAGGGAAAAAAGACTAAGAATCAGATGGGCAGTAAGTGAGAATAGATAAGCAGGAAAAGCAAGTTAATGTGTTACCAGGTAGGCTGGCGCCAGGGTTTGAAAGAGACTGAAGTTACTGAGGAAGATGGGAGGAGGCGGAGTGTTTTGAGCTCTAACCTTATTTAGTGTTCCAGGACAGTGGTCCTTGGCAAAGATGAGGTTATGATCTCTGGCTGCAGACAAGTGGATAAAAGACCCAATGTGATAAGTCAGGGTTGTAAAATGAAGCTTGTGCTCAGTTGTGATTTCTTGAAAGCCAGGGGCACCTTATAATTCCTCTTTAGAGCTCCACCCCTTCTATCACCCAAAGCTCTCCCTCCTCCTAGACAACCCTGGACACACACCACATGGCCTGGAGTCAAAGAGAAAAGAGATTCAAGAAAGAAAAGGAAAAAACCCACAGAACTCAGTAAGTACTTATTCACTGAAGCAAGAGGGAACTTCTGAAAGTAGGAAAGAAAACAATCTTCTCAGGTGAAGTAATCCAACTCCTCCTTTCCACTGTCATCCTCACAGCTGATCATTTGCCAAATTGTGAAGGAAATCTTAGTCCCTACTTTGAGGCAGTGCCGCACTTGCTGCCAAGGCCAGGCCACCTGCTGGCAGCTGCTCTGCTGCTCCTTAGCACCACAGACCAAGAAGGCAGCACGCCATGCTTTTCTGTCCCCTACTCCACAGGCTCGTCAAAACAGACGGGTCCTTGTGTGGTGTCATGAGCTCCTTGAGAGCAGGGATTAAGTGTGATTCGGTTGTGCCTTCCCCACAGCAGCTAACACAAGAACTTGCAGATTCACCATGGATGTTTCCTGAATGAACAGCTGCCTCAGTGTCCCTGGGAGGGTCCTCTAAGTTCTGGTGTCTTGAAAGTGTGGCTTATTGGTAGCTACTGGAAGTAATGGGTAGAGAATCCCTGAAGTAAGCTATACACAAAAATTGGATGTCACAGAGCTGAAGCTAATTGAAATCCAAACAACAGTAAAGGGATTAATTTTGCTTAGGAAACATTCTCCGAAGTAACCTGAGATAGGATTTGGAGGCATGTTAATAATGAGATTAAGATGCTTCCTACTGTGTCTTCAGAAAGCAACCAGAAAGGGAACCAGAAACCCATTGCATGTAACTAACACTCATAACCTGAGATAGGATTTGGAGGCATGTTAATAATGAGATTAAGATGCTTCCTACTGTGTCTTTAGAAAG